GCTGATGGCAGGAAGGCTCTTTGACAACTGTGGACACCAAGGTTTTCTCCTTTCTACCTTTTTTTTCTCCGTGTTTCAAAGTTTGATTTTTGACACTTTACTAACACCAGTTTCTACGGTGGAATTAGAGAGAATATCAGGAACAGCAATAACAAAGGTGGTGACGCCATTCGCTGAAAAAATGTTTAAGAAATATTTATTAAAATAAGGAATAAAATTTTGAGGCACTTAACCTCTAAGTATATTTATTTTAAAAAAGTAAATCAGGTCAGGGTTTCTAAGTTGATGCTTCAAGAAGTTTGAGAAACAATCCTTTTTCTAAAAACGATTGTTCTGTAATCAGTGTTTTATTTTTCTATTATATTAGTTTTCATTTAGTAAAACAAAAGGTCTTGTTGGGGTTTAATATTCACAAGCTGCTCGAACTGGGATTGTCTGTTTATAATGTCTGATTTTCTTTAAAATAAGCACTAGCTTCATTCTGACTGCAGATGTAAATGTAACCACAGCCAGAAAAACTATCATGTTCAGCTRTGTTGTCAGTTCAGTCTGTAACCTGCTGCTAAATGTCATCTGTGAGATTGATCGTTTTTAATCTGAACTTCARATTACAGTAAAGGGAATTCAAGGCTGTGAATGTTTGTAAAACCTGCAACAATAAACTGGTTTGAAGCAGTTCTGTTCTTTGTTCTGACTTGTTTCAGCTGGTTTTTAAATTTACCTGCAGGCGAAGCTGTTGTTCTTAGAAAAACTAACTGGTGGGAATAAAGCAGCATTAATGAGGCCACTGATTAGAACAGCTAACAGAACTGATGAATCAGATTAAATGAGGCAGAAAGCTGAAATTATTAGAAAAAAGCAGAGATGAAGTCAAAACAAGTGAAGCTAAGTCTGGATTAATTAAAGCCTATAATAGAGTAAAACTAGAATAAATGCAGACAGAATTTGTTAAAATACAAACTTGGCTTAAACTAAATAATTAAATTTGGATAAAACTATATTCAGTAATAGAAAGGGAACTATTGATGTTCCATTTAGAGTCGATGGTGCTGAGATCTGTAGTTAGTGAAGTTTTTGATGAAAAGCTGACATGGAAATCTCATAAATCACTTCAGAACAAAAATAACTAAATCCATAGCAGGATGTAAAGGAGTTATTTAATTATAAAGCTCTGTTTACATTATATAATGCAATAATTGTTCCACACTTGATTGCGTTGAAGTCTGGGGGAAAGCATGTAAAAAAAAATTACAAACACTATTTTTGTTTTACAGAAAAGATCTGTAAGAATTGTCACTAGAAAACATTACAGTCACCATCAAATATATTTTGTCAGTTGAAATTATTGAAATTTTATGATTTTGTTGATTATATTTTGCAGGTTATGTATAAAGCTCATAAAAAGTTTATTACCTCTAAATATCCAATTAAATTTTGTTACGAGAGTAATTATAAACTTTAGGGTAGAGATGTTTGTAAATCCCATAATTCGAACAAATTTGAAGGATCGATGCTCTTCAGTCCAAGGAATAAGATTGTGGAATAATCTGGAAAGTTATTATAAAACTGTTGGCTCAATTAATTTAAGAGAATGATAAAAGTTAAGATTGTTGAAGAAACATGAAGTTATATAATGTGCCTTCATAAGAACTGTTGTTCGAGAAGGAGTTTAAGTTTTTTATGTTTTGTTATTTGAAGATTATTGTTTGAATTTATTTTTATTTTTGGAAAAAAGGGGCAGATGTTATGAATTTTTTCTTCTTTCTGATTTGTAGTTTGTTGTCTGTATAAATTTTTGTTTTTAAAGTAAAATGAATAAATTTACTAATTAATTTAACACACCAACTCTGTTTACATGGTTCATTTCTAACACACTTTAAAGATACCAGCTACACTAAGAATATTTTTAGTCAACATTTTTCTTTTRTAGATTTTTATCCAGATGACTAAAATCACAAATACCTACAAACACCACTAGGTGGCGACATCAGCCACAATAACACCAGAACTTACCTTGGCAGCTTTATTTCCCACTATAGTTTCAGCACACAAACCATTTCTGAATAAAAAAGAAATACGTGTAAAAAACACACCCCTTGGGCCCCTATAGAGAATAAAGAATTAAAAGTATTTTTCCACAAATGATTATCTTAAGGGTGTGCACATTTATGCAACCAAGCTTCCTGCATGTTTTTAGTGCAGCACAGAGTAGACTTGTCACAGAAGCTGGTGTTACATCAGGAGGGTAAAAACTTTTTATCCTTTATGATCAGTGGTGCTGATAAATCACTAATTATAAAATCAACCACATTTTAAGAGTTTTTTTTTTACCACCAGTGATCCAGATGTACTGATGTGCGATTCTGAAAAGTGGGTACGCACWCAACATAAACAAGGCACTACAAAAACTAAAAACCATGTGGAGGCTCGAGTCACATGTGGTGGTGGGCAGTAATAACAGAATCGATCTAATGTCAGATAAACAGATTGTCATGTGGACAGGAGGTAAAAACACCAATAAAAAAACAAACTACAGTCCTGGGAGTAAAACTGAGTGGAAGAAGCAGACGGCAGCAGGCAGGTTTATTCCCTGTATTATTTATTGAAAACCCAGCAGTCATTAACTTCTGTTGTGTCGGGGGGATAAGATGTGGTAAACTAAACTCATTCTGCTGTCAAAGAAAAAATAACAATCTACAGAACGTCTCACTGTTTTCTCATTCAAACACTTACTTTTAAAAATGTTACACAGATGCAGGAGGGAGGGGCAAAAAGCAATGAGGGGAGAAGAAGAAGAAGAAGAAAAGAGAAGTTCAAAGAGATTAAATGAAAACGACTGATTGGGGCGTGTCTCTGGTTTTAAAATGGTTCGTGTGTTTCCTRCTCAGCTCTTGATTTTTACTCATTTTAGGTGGTGAAAAGCCAAAAAGAAGACAATCGTTTCATCGGGGTCTGGTTCCGTCAGTCTTCATCGTTTCTTTGGGGGTTGGGCTGTGCGGGGAGGAGTGACGGGCCGGCCAGAGTTCATCCCTCCGTACTGGTACTTGGCCTTTTTCTCAGACGGCTTCAGGATCTGAGAATAAAATTATTCGATTGTTACTTGATGAAACGTTCAARCTGACTCTTCTGAAGAAAATAAACATTCATCTAAAACTTCAGTTTGAGGTGAGGGGTTCTGGTCCTGGATCAGTTCTTTGTTCTTTTATTTGAGGTACCTGGAAGGAGCACATGAGGGTTTCGTCCACGCTCATCATGCCGCCGGCGTTGTCAAACTCTCCGCAGTAGTTTGGAGCCGAGAACAGAGTCACCAGCTGCCGCTTGGCGAAGAACTCGTAACCATCTTCTACCACCTGGGGGGGGGGGACACAACTGACTTTAATCACTGATGCAAAAAAAACACCAGTGGCTAGCGTACACACAGAAAGCTAGCATACACACAGACAGCTAGCGTACACACAAAGCTAGCGTACACACAAAGCTAGCGTACACACAGAAAGCTAGCATACACACAGAAAGCTAGCGTACACACAAAGCTAGCGTACACACAAAGCTAGCGTACACACAGAAAGCTAGCATACACACAGAAAGCTAGCGTACACAAAGAAAGCTAGCGTACGCACAGACAGCTAGCGTACGCACAGACAGCTAGCGTACACATACACAGCTAGCGTACGCACATAAAGCTAGCATACACACAGACAGCTA